CTTCTCCATGGGTAACGTGGCTTTTTTCACAAGATGGAAACCACCCCTGTACACTCCCAGCCCTTTCTTCCTCCCTGACCTGCCAGGCTATATCCACAGAGAGCGTGACCTAATCACTGCACGTGGCCACCACATCCGGGTCCTCATTCCCTTCAGGTGTCAATAATGAAAGAGGATGGAGAAGGAAGAACGTCTCTTCTAATTCCTGATGAGTTCAGAAGTCCTGAACTGCTTCCGTAGTAGCCATCCATTCCACGTGATATTGCTTGTTACTCACTCCTCCACTAATCTACAAGCACTGCAAAAACTGGAGCAGCACCTGCTCCTTAGTAGGTGCTCCCTGAATGTGTGATTGATAACTGAATGAGCAAATGAATGACCAGCTGGAGAAGAGGAACTGTTGCATGATCTGAGTGGAAAAGATGAAGCGATGGCCTCGCTGTTCGAGCCCATATGGAACACACATATGGAACCACACGCAGGGGATCAGAGGAGCAGAACTCACAATTTTAACCTGAAAACTCAACATTTGTTCTTTTTCATCTCCCTGATGATTAGTGACCTTGAGCAGGTTTTCATATGTCTCTTGGCCTTCCTTCTGTCTTCTTTCTAAAAGTATCTATTTAGGTCAGTTGCCCTTTTTTTTTTTTAAATATATTTTATTGATTCTTTACAGAGAGGAAGGAAAGGGAAGGGATAGAGAGTTAGAAACATCTATAAGAGAGAATTATCGATCAGCTGCCTCTTGCACACCCCCCACTGGGGATGTGCCCGCAACCAAGGTACATGCCCTTGCCCGGAATCGAACCCGGGACCTTTCAGTCCGCAGGCTGACGCTCTATCCACTGGGCCAAACCAGTCCCGGCGAGTTGCCCATTTTTTGATTAGGTTGTTTATCTTTTTGTTAAGTAACGCTTGTTCTTTTTCATTACTTGAGCACAACTTTGCTTTCTTCTTCAAGGCACCTAACTTTTTCTTATGTCTTTATACTCCGCCTCTGGTTTTCTTCTTAGACCCTACACAGCAGCGCCCTGCTTGCCCTTGTCTTCCCCATTTCCAGCTCCTGCAGCCCATCCTCTGTCCTCCTCACAGCAACTGGGGGAACCCTTCCCAGCTCCACCGCATAGTTTAAGGGAGATTAGGTAAATGCGCAGCAAGTCCTTGCTTACTCTTTTTCAGACTTCTTCAGTGTTGTGAAAGTCCTGAGCACTAAGACTGCTTATCCACAAGGCATTTTGAGTGATGGCATGTTTATCTTAGAATTCCACCCTCAATGGTAATTGTACTGACACAAATGGGAGAAAGAAGCCAAGGTGTTTCAATAACCATATGGTGCCACAGGCTGTGCTGCCAGCACATGGCTCGGGCCGGCCACTGAGCCCGGCGCCTCTGTTCTTAAGGACTGGGTTGAAAGAGAAATATTGAGAACAAGATGAAGAGCAGCTCACTCTAGGTAACTTGGTACCTTTTGAAATACTGATGCATTCTTGCTGTTCAGCATTAATTACCATTAAGGATTCCTTCTGTGGCTGTAAGGAGTGTAGGATCTGAAGTGTGAACAGCCATTTGAATCTCTGCAAAGGCACTGGAGAAGATGGAGAAGGTCGGTGGGGTCAGCAGTATGGGGACCCGTTTATGTGAGTTGTTTCGAAGACTGCTGAGTCCCAGTCCAGCAGCATCTAGCCCCCCTACATGCCGATACCTTTATGCTTTTGGCTTAAGATAATATTTTTCAAAATATTGTCCATGGACTACCTGCTTTAAAACAATATAGTGGTGTTTTTGAGAAATAGAACACCACATTCCTGAGCCCCAGATCAACAGAGCAGAATCTCTGGGGGTGAGGTCTTGAACTTCCTTGACCAAACGGCTCAGCTCATCCTTTTGAACCATGAAGTCTAGACTGCTTGCTTGAGACTTACCAGCTATTAAGTTTCAAATACTTCCAAAAAGCAATAGCAATATGAGCAGATATAAAAATCTGAGATCAGGTTATGATACAGTAATTAAAAATAATGTGAGGACACAAATATTCAAGGGAAGGACTAGGACACCACCAAGGGGAGAAAATAAGGAGAGAATGGCCAGAGAGCCTTTTACGTCATCCTTTTGTGCCAGGTTATATATCATTGGTCATAGTTTAGTTCTGTTCCAAGAACACATATTGAGTCCTTCTATGTGCCTGGCACTAGGGATAAAGAGAAACAGAACAGATTCACAATCCTAGGGGAGTGTACAGTTTGGGAAAGGAAGCAGGTCCAGAGGGCTGAGAAGAAGGGCTCCTATGAGATAAGAAGGTAGGTAGATCAATAAAGCTCCTAGGGCAATGGAAGCCTGTGGGATCCCTTAACACAACCCACGTGGTTCAGGGCCCACTCAGAGTCCGGTTTCTGGAGAAGGACACACACTAAAATGAAGAAGCTAGAAAATAGTTAATTTGGGAAAATGAGGACCAGGCGGGAGTCCACCTTTAGGGGAGGACTATTCCATGCTCTGGCCTTTTACCATTCTTTTTCTGAGATTCTGAGACAAAGACATCTCTTAGGCAGAAAATTCCAACAACAGAAAATCTAAAATAATTTACATATGATTAACAAATTAAAGTTGCCTCAACTACCTCTAGCTCAGACCATTCAGAACCATCAAGGTTGGCCAGCTCTTTTTACATTTTACTACCAACTACCTCTAGCTCAGACCATTCAGAACCATCAAGGTTGGCCAGCTCTTTTTACATTTTACTACCAGGGAATAATGTTTGGTTTTGGTTAGCCAGCTCTTTTTACATTTTACTACTAGTGACTCAAGCTAGAGTCAATGAGTTAATAGCTCCGGCCATTTGGAGCCATCAAGGTTGGCCAGTTCCCTTTACATTTTATTACCAATGACAAAGTTCGGTTTCGGTTTCTGGCAGAAGCTAAGGAGAAAGTAAACAAACGGGACTACATCAAAATAAAAAGCTTCTGCCCAGCAAAAGAAACCTTCAGCAGAACCACAAGAAAGCCCACTCCATGGGAGAACATATTTGCCAATGTTATCACCGATAAGGGTTTAATCTCCAACATTTATTCTCAAACATACAACTTAACAAAAGGAAGATAAACAACCCAATCAAAAAATGGGCAAAGGACCTAAATAGACACTTTTCAAAAGAGGACATACAAAAGGCCAAGAGACATATGAAAACATGCTAATTATCCGAGAGATGCAAATCAAAACGACAGTGAGGTACCAAATCACACCTGTCAAAATGGCTATCATCAAGAAATCAACAAATGAGGAGTACTGGCAAGAACGCAGAGAAAAAGAAACCCTCCTGCACTGCTGGTGGGAATGCAGACCGGTGCAGCCACTGTGAAGAAAAATATATCATTTCCTCAAAAAGCTAAAAATGGAACTCACATTTGACCCAGTGATCCCACTTCTAGGAATATATCCCAAAAAACTAGAAACACCAATCAGAAGGACATATACCCGCCTATGTTCATAGCAGCACAATTTACAATAGCTAAGATTTAGAAACAGCCTAAGTGCAGATGAGTGGATTAAAAACCTGTGGTACATCAGTGAAATACTACACTGATGTAGAAAGGAAGGAACGCCTACCATTTGTAACAACATGGATGGACCTGGAGAGCATTATGCTAAGCGAAATAAGTCAATTGGAGAAAGATAAATATCACATGATCTCACTCATTTGTGGAATATAATAAACAACATAAACTGATGAACAAAAACAGATCCAGAGACAGAGAAGCATCGATCAGACTGTCAAACTTGAAGGGAAGGTAGGGGAGGGAGGGGTAGAGATCAATGGACACAGACACTAGGAGGGTGAGGGCATGAGCAGGTGGAGAAGCAATGGGGGTGAGGGGGTAAAGACACATATGTAATACCTTAATAAAGAAAACACACACACACACACACACACACACACACACATATATATATATATATATATATATATATATATATATATATATATATAATTTTTTTTTTTAAGGAAGAAGTTAGGTAGACAGGTAAGGGTGGGGAGCTTTTGAGGAGGAAATAAAGGCGGGGCCAGGAGTTGGTGGGAAATGGAGCATGTTCCCAACAGGGTAACCTGCACAACCAAAGGTATGAGGAATGGAGAAAAATAATCAGTGATCCTGGGTAGGTAGACATGATCCAGATTTGGGAGACATATGGATGTCTTCATAACTTCAAAGTCCTTTTTATGCTAGACATCTAGAAGACTCCCTTCAAATTCATTCAAGTTTATGGCAAACTGTTGATTGCTGTTGCTCCAAAAACATTACAACCAGTTTATAGGTTCTTTCCGGGACATTGTGTGTTCGATTTCCATAACTAACAAGTTGGCAATAATATAAAAAATTGTTTAATATACCCCCAGCTAGTTAAAACATTGTCCCATATACCAAAAGGTTTCAGGTTCAATTCCCGATCAAGGCACATATCTAGGTTGTGGGTTTGATACCTGGTTGGGTGTATGAGATGCAAACAATCAATGTTTCTCTCATGTCGATCTCTCTCTCCCCCTACCCTTCCTCTCTTTCTGAAAAATCAATAAAAACATATCCTTGGATGAGGATAAAAAATGTTAAATATAGATTTGAGAATTTTTTTACTGTCATTGGAAACATACATGAAAAATAGGAATGTTAATCACCTCTTGAAAGGGATATTGAGAACAGAGGTAGGAGAAATTTACCTCTCACTGTAAACCCTTTTATGCTGTTTGAATTGTTTACATGAATATTTATTGCCTATCCAAACAAGTTTAAAAGAGAACTAAAGAGACACATTTATTTCATAGCATAAAGAAGTTGTGTGTCAACATGTGGTAATTTAATTTTTATTTAAAACCAAATTAACATTGCCACAGTGACAGAAATAGTATTTTTAGTTTTGTTTTTCACAGCTTGAGAAAAATCATGGGATTGGGCAAATACAAATTTTGTATATCCTCTATAAAACTGGCCTCTTTTTTTTTTTTCCAGTTTGCAGCACATCTTGTGAAGATGAAATACCCAAGAATCTGTATTCTAGATGGTGGCATTAATAAGATCAAGCCAACAGGCCTCCTCACCGTCCCCTCTCCTCAAATATGAAGAGCCCAGAGGATGACGGTCAAAAGGACGAAGGGGCATCAGCTCCCAGCAGCACAGCCCCTCACAGCCTGACCGCTCTAAGACAGAAGTCAGCTTCCAGAGTGTTACCTTTCCTTAGTGCTGTAAGGAGACTTTTTTTTTTTTTAATCTCATGACCCAGATATTCAACTACCCAGCAACAAACTTGACTGTACATGTGTTGTTGAAAGAATTTTCTTAACAGTGAAATCTGATCATGTATTTTTAGCACATTGTGACAATAAGCCAGAGGAATTGGCTGACAAGGCAGATTGGGCATTATCAAGAAATCTCACTTGCACTAAAAAAGCTGTCTCCCGTTGCACTGAAGACACAGCTCTAACAAAGGCATTTGGAAATATAGGTTGAATGTGAGCTGAAATCATCATTCCATGGTAATGAAAAGTGAAAGGCTATTCATAATTCATTCCTTATAAGTAAATGTTGCATTTGGTAACTCATTTTTGGCCCAGACAAGTTGTGTGTGTGTGTGTGTGTGTGTGTGTGTGTGTGTGTGTGTGTGCGCGCGCGCGCGCATGTTTAGAGGAAAAAGAATGTAGCTCATTGAAGAAAATAATAATAATTTACTTACAAAAAAAATGAAAGAATTTAACCTTTCAAATTAGGTAAATTATTTGTTCAGCTTCTGTAGCAAAAAAAAACCCAAATAAGAGTGAGTAAAACGAACTAGAATTTCTTTCTTGATTAGTCAGTCTAGGGACAGTATACTTTTTCATAATCATTTAAGTGTCTTTTCTCATTGTTTTACCACCCCCAACACACTGTTTCCATCTCATGGATCAAGATGGATGCTCAGCTCTCACCATCACATCTGCATTTCAGAAGGAAGAAAGGAAGGAGGAGGGGTAGGGAAGAAAGGAAGGAAAAAAATATGGAGGGGAGAAAGAAGAAAGGAAGAAAATATGAAAAAGAAGGGGAAATGTGCTTCTCTAATAACAAAAACCAGAAGTTGCACATGTTACTTCCGCTTATATACCATTTGCCAGAACTTAGATATATGGCCACACCTACCTATAAGGAAAACTAGGAATATGGTCTAACTCTGTGGTTGGCAAACTGTGGCTCACAAGCCACATGCAGCTCTTTGGCCCCTTGAGTGTGGCTCTTCCACAAAATACCACAGCCTGGGTGAGTCTATTTTGAAGAAGTGGCATTAAAAGAAGTTTAAGTTTAAAAAATTTGGATCTCAAAAGAAATTTCAATTGTTGTACTGTTGATATTTGGCTCTGTTGACTAATGAGTTTGCTGACCACTGATCTAACTAAAACATGTTCTTTCATCTTTAACTTATGTTCCTCTTTAGTGTTAGAACTACCTATGCACAATATTTTAATAAGAGCCTCACTTCAACTTTCTGGGCCTGGTTTTATTGTTGCTGTTTTTATTAAGTTTCTGTATTTTTTTTATTGAAATAATTTACATACCATAAAATTCACTTTTTAAAACGTACAACTCAGTGTTTTTTAGTATGTCCACAAAATTGTGCAACCACCGAATTCCAGAACATTTCCATCACCCCCATAAAGAAAACCTGTACCTAGCAGTCGTTCTCCCTTAACCCTTTCCAAGGTCTTCGATTTAATTTTTGTATATAAAGTGCAATTGATGTCCAACTTTATTCTTGCATGTGGGTATCAAGTTACCCCATGGGCCATTTCATTTTGTTTGTTTTTCTCAATTAAATTATAGTAATTCACCAAATATGTTTTGATATCTACTACTAGTATGTGCAAGACACTGACATAACTAATAATTATTCTTGAGATATCCTACATTATATACAAATAAAAATTGTAAGAGTAAATGAGAAAACAAAATTTTGCCACAGTTTCTCTAACATCATTTTTGGACTGTCATCTTCCCTGGTTAGAGAAGGGTTAAATCCTCTTATCCTTTCTTTCCATCTTTGATGACTTCTGTGGCTTCATGGTCATAAGGCAGCACTGGTGATCATTTAGAAAGAGGGTCTGAGTCCTAACTTAGCCTTACTGGGGAAGCAGAAGGATGGAGGGGTGGGAATTTGGATTACATGGATGGAGGGTAGTGAGAGAGGATAAAGACCCTGTGCTGGAGAGCTGTGTGAGAAGATAATAGTAACTAACCATCACAACTTTGCATTTGATCTTTCTTAAAACTTGATACATGCTGAAAAAAATGGAAGGTTACTAAACATTCAAATTATAGAAAACATTTAATATTCTCAACAGTAAAATAAGAAATAGCATAAACTCATTGCCAGGTGTACATACAGAGCATAGTATTTGATAACAGCTGGTTTCAACAATATTGACTGACCTCAACAATTATTTGTTGAATTAAACTATAAACAATTTATAGAGTTAATTGTAATTATATTATTGACTTCTACACTATCATTGTCACTGTTTTTTGTTGTTTTTCTAGCATTGGTAATCTCTTCTTCCTGGAATGCCCTTAAGACCTTTACTAGCCCCATAAACACACACACCCTGTCTCCCTTTTTATAATTCTTCATCAGTAGCATCTCCTCTTGACTCAGACTTTCCCATGCTACCTTAAGTGTCTCAAATCTGTCAAAGTGTTTCATTTATCCTAGTAATAATAGACTTATTACATTATTTTGCAATTATCTGTTCACATTTGGGCCTGATATTAAAATATGAGCTCCTTTAAGGTCAGAGACCATAATGTACAATTCTTTGTTCTTTTCACCAACCATTGCACTGGAGATGCTTGATAAATGTAAAGTTGAATTGAATGGAATCTTTAGCGTTGGGATTTTAGGGTCTCTTATGAATAGAAAAATATTAAAGCAACCCAGGTAATTTTTTTCAAGTGTCAAACTTACCTGGTACCTAATGAAGAAAAATAAATTAAAATTCAATTCACTGAGTAAAGAAAGGATCTCTAATGTACCACCCAGCTCTAACATGTTATAATCCTAGAAGTTGAAACAGATAACTTCCAGCAACAGGGTAGGCTAAACTAGTTGCATCCCTTTTCCAAAACACAGAAATTCCAAATTAAAAAATAATATTAAAAATATTACCAAAGTTGAAAAAAATCATAAATTCCTTGATGTCAGATCAAAAGAGAAACTGACACACTATCAGGCCCATAGGATATCCGATATTAATATAAGACCTTGAAAACTGAGGTTTTAACATGCACGGGGGGCTGGAAGACACAGCCATGAGCCTTCAGTTGGTATTAGGACCACAATGTGACAGGCTCAAAGAACTCTGTTCCTTGAAATGACTATAAATAACTTCCCACCAAATCGGGAAGCTACAAGGGGAGGTTGTCCTGGTCTGGTATTCTGAGTGAAGGAATTCAGATCTGATGTAGACAGATGGAGGTATTCAATGGAAAGGCTGAGGTAAGTCTCCGGATTGGAACAGGCTGTAGGGCATGTGTTCATCTGACTATTTAAAAATGAGCACAGTGAGTTACATCAAACGTGTGGAAAGCGTAGATGGTGCCAGATCTTGTTGGACTCCTCTTTTTACTCCTCCTAATAATTACAAAAACCAATATGGCGCATCCTCTCTAATGGATCTTACACAGTGGTCTCCCTCGGCCAAATCCACTCTAAGGGGAGATGGCAGCTGTAGGGTGGGGGCTGTTTCCTTCTATCAGAGTCATAGTGCTCTCACTGGTATACATGCTGGCTTTACAAATGCCTGCTGCTAACCAAATAATGCAGTTTTACATAAATAAACATTAAGTAAGCCAAAGAGTGGAAACAAATGATTGTATCTAAAATAAGTTTTTGGTGTGTATTTAAACAAAGACCCTTCACAACTGCCAACTTAGATATTATATGGAAGAGCAACAGAGAAATGTTACAAACCTTAACTGTCAGACACTAGCAATTTAACATATGCAGTTGTTCTCACACAACCTTTAGGTTTTGCAATCCAGTTTTATCTCATTTATTATTAGAAACTAGATGCCTGGTGCATCAAATTCTTGCACTCTGGGGGGAGGGGGGTCCCCTCAGACTGGCCTGTGACCTCTTACAGTCCAGGAGCTCGGCAATGGATCACCCCACAGAGGTAGGCCCTGCCCCCACCACCACAGTGCTGCCGCAGAGTAGCCTGGGCCTCCCTCTTTGGGGCAATCATGGACCCACCCCCTGATTAATCCATCTCCTCGCTGTTTGGCCATTCGGTCAATTTGCATATTACACTTTTATTATTATAGGTAGTAAATATTATAAATACGCTATTTAAAAAGTTAGCTACCCAATCTTGAGAAAGAAGAACAAAGTAGGAGGGATCACAATACCAGATATAAGGCTATATTACAAAGCCACTGTTCTCAAAACTGCCTTGTACTGGCACAAGAACAGATATATAGACCAGTGGATCAGAACAGAGAATCCAGAAATCAACCCAAGCCATTTTGCTCAGTTAATATTTGACAAAGGAGGCAAAAACATACAATGGAGTCAAGATAGTCTCTTCAATAAATGATGTTGGGAAAATTTGACAGATACATGCAAAAAAAAACAAAACAAAACTAGATCACCAACTTACACCATTCACAAAAATAAACTCAAAATGTATAAAGGAATTAAACGTAAGATGGGAAATCATAATAATACTAGAGGAATCCACCGGCAGCAAAATCTCAGACATTTGTCATAGCAATATCTTTACTGATACAGCTCTTAGGGCAATGGAAACTAAAGAGAAAACAAACAAATGGGACTACATCAAAATAAAAAGCTTCTGCATAACAAAAGAAACCATCAACAAAACAAGAAAGCCCACTGCATGGGAAAACATATGTGCCAGTGTTATCTCCAATAAGAGATTAATCTCCAAAATTTATAGAGAACTCCTATAACTTAACAAAAGGAAGACAATCTAATAAAAAAATGGGCAAAGGACCAAAATAGTATGGAGTCAAAAAATTAAAAATAGAATATCCATTTGACCCCGTAATCCCACTTTTAGTACTATATTCCAAGAAAA